GGGAGCTCACTGGCTTCGGGTTCTGTAGGAACTCCAAAGTTAAGCGAGAAGGGGGCTAGAGCAATCCCATGATGGGTGACCCACTGGGAAGTTGCTCGTGAGTTCCCAAAAACAAAACTGTGAGGGAATGGTAAGCCCAAAGCGGACAATATCGTGCTACGGTGGTGGAGCGGGCCCCGGAAGTGATCCGCCCAGGGCCGGGATGTGACAATTTGGTATCAGAGCCTAACCCTGGTCATGAGTGTGCCGACGAGGATGTCGGGCCCTTGAGGGGGGTGGATTGTGACATCCCACATCGCCCAGGGGAGTGATCCTTATATGTATATCCCATCCCTACTTAGCACGAGGCCTTTTGGGAGCTCACTGGCTTTGGGTTCCGTAGGAACTCCAAAGTTAAGCGAGAATGAGGCTAAAGTAATCCCACGATGGGTGACCCACTGGAAAGTTGCTCGTGAGTTCCCAAAAACAAAACCGTGAGGGAATGGTAAGCCCAAAGCGGACAATATTGTGCTACGGTGGTGGAGCGGGCCCGGGAAGTGATCTGCCCCGGGCCGAGATGTGACAATTTGGTATTAGAGCCTAACCCTGGTCGCTAGTGTGCCAACGAGGACGTCGGGCCCCTAAGGGGGGTGGATTGTGACATCCCACATCACCCAGGGGAGTGATCCTTATATGTATATTCCTATCTCTACCTAGCATGAGGCCTTTTGGGAGCTCATTGGCTTCGGGTTCTGTAGGAACTCCGAAGTTAAGCGAAAAGAGGGCTAGAGCAATCCCATGATGGGTGACCCACTGGGAAGTTGCTCGTGAGTTCCCAAAAACAAAACCGTGAGGGAATGGTAAGCCCAAAACGGACAATATCGTGCTACGGTGGTGGAGCGGGCCCGGGAAGTGATCCGCCCCGGGCCGGGATGTGACAATTTGGTATCAGAGCCTAACCCTGGCCATGAGTGTGCCGACGAGGACGTCGGGCCCTTGAGGGGGGTGGATTGTGACATCCCACATCGCCCAGGGGAGTGATCCTTATATGTATATCCCATCCCTACTTAGCACGAGGCCTTTTGGGAGCTCACTGGCTTTGGGTTCCGTAGGAACTCCAAAGTTAAGCGAGAAGGAGGCTAGAGCAATCCCACGATGGGTGACCCACTGGGAAATTGCTCGTGAGTTCCCAAAAACAAAACCGTGAGGGAATGGTAAGCCCAAAGCGGACAATATCGTGCTACGGTGGTGGAGCGGGCCCGGGAAGTGATCTGCCCCGGGCCGGGATGTGACATATAAGGGTGTGGCGAACCCCTTTGGGAGGATAGGGACCTGCCACTTGGATGGTTTTTTGGGTGAGATTCTGCTAGGAGCATATTTATGCGACTTTGTTAGTTTATTTCCTTACATTTACTTAGTTAGTTTCTATTTATTATAGTGATTTAAGCTATTTTCGTGTGTTTGTAGGTCCAATTAGCTAAAAGGGCAAGAAAAGGCAATTTGGAGCATTTTAGAGTAGTTTTGGGCTTGGAATGGAATGGATAGCACATGCATGGAGTAAGGTGGATGAACGAATTTGAAGTTCAAGAAAGGCTAAGAATATGCTAAAGAGATGGAAGAATTAATTCAAGACAAAGAAGATTTGGAGCTCAGCAAAGAAAGAAGGAAACATGAGCCAAACTACCTTATTTTGTCTTAACCAATCCTAATCCTACACTACCTATGTTCCAGCTGCTAGGGGGGTTCCTAATTAATTTAGGACACTTAAATATATGTTTCTAGAAGGCTTAATCCTATTCCTTAAGGGATGCCGCACCCTCTTCCTTCTAGAACAACAATTCCTTGCCGCAAACCCATTTCCCTTTCTCTCTAGGTCCTGCCGCATATCCCTTTCCCTTTTCCTCTTGGATTCTGACATTTATTTACCTTTTTTCCTTGAGGATTTGGAGTGCAAATCTTTCCCAAAATTTAATTAATGTCTTTCCCTTTCTTCCTTTATTTCTATGCTTTCTACCGCACATAAGGGAAGGAACCATTCATCCATCCATCCATCCATCCTTCACCATAATTCACACCACATATCTATCATACACACAAACACCCTTGTGCCGCAGCCTTGCAAGGAGAAAGGAGAGAAGACGCTTGGAGCCATGTCCTGCCGTTCAAAGTTTAGATTGTTGGAGCGTTTCTAGGTGTATTCAATCTTTTGTTTTCAATGTTTAAATTTAATTGTACTTGTTTAATTGCGAACATGAGCAGCTAAACTCATTTTGGCTAAAGGAGAATTCAAAGCCATGAACATATATGTGATATGAATTGATTTCATCCAATTATTATTTCATAAAACATGAATGCAATTTACTTAACTGCTTGATTGATAACTTATTCTTGTATGTTGATTAAGGAGGTCTACTTAGTTTGCATGCATGAATTTGATGCTAAAATATAAGGAAGTTTCACCTAATCGTTATGAACTTATATTTGCAAGTAGTGAAGGTTGCTAGTCACGATCGTGTTAAGTGAATTCCTGGCAAGAGTATCATGCTTTTCATAGTTACGAATGCCTTGTCAATGCTTATGATTTTCATAGAACTTAATGATCTTTGATATGTATCTTTATCATGTTGTTCATATAGGGAACTTGATAAGAATAATTTGATTGCGTCGCTGAGTCCAATTCAATGAAATTAGGAAAATCTGATAGTTAATTTGTGCAGTTCACGGTTAACTTGGGGCATTGTCATTCATGGTTTATTGGAATAATATTTGGAAATCGATTTGTATGCATATGTGTCACGTGTGGAGAATGACCCTCTAGCTAGCCATTCACCCATTAAAACACCCAATTCGTCCAAAGTTGTTTAGAGTCTTTAAATCTGTTTGCTTTTACTTTAAATTCGTCAAAACCAATTCCTTCTTTAATATTTCATGTTTTACTTAGTTAGAACCTGTTTTAATTTGTTTCCTTTAGTGTTTTGAGTCAAAGTTAAGTTAGAATTCGTCCAAAATCACTCTTAGTTTCTGTTTTGAGTCAATTTACTTGTTTTGTGATGTTTTGAGTCATTCTAGTTTGTTTTAAGTTATTAGAGTCTAGTTTTCTATTTTTGAGTCTAGTTTAGTGTAATTGAGTCTAATTTGAGTAGATTAGCAATCCCTCCTTATCCCCGGCCTAGAACGATCCCTACTTATCCATACTACAATTGTCAAAAAGAGGGTTTAATTTGTGTGCTATTTTATATCACATCATATTCATGATTTATTAGTTAATTAATAAATTAATTGGGTAATAAATCAATTAATTAGCTAATTAATATAATTAGAAAGGAATGATTTGAGGGTTACCTTATGGAGAAGATTTGATGAGGATAGATGAAATAGGTTTTGAATAATTACCTATTTTGAGCACTTTTGACCTTGATTGAGTTATGATTGTCCACTGCTCGAGCATAGGAGTTCTGGTATTCCTCGAGAGTAATTTTATCTTTTTACCCTAAAATCCACGTGTTGCCTCGATATTTTTCTCGATTATTTTTGGCTCCACAAACCCTAATCTCTCCCTCCCTCACCAACAAATACACACTCACTGAACAAACAAAAAAAAAAAGGTATAAGATTACCAAGTCGCAGTTGCAGTGCAGCTTCAATCCACCTCAAGTCCATTCCTCACACAGCTCCCTCTCTTTGCCTCTCTTTTCCTGTCTCCAATGAAAGATACCCACTGAGTAAAAAAAATTCAAAATTTTTTAATTACACCTGGTCACAACTACTTGTGAGCTCGTCCTTTCTCAGCCTTTGGATTGTCGTTCGTATGGATGATCTGCACTCTTCGTCCACACATTAGACAAGCCCTTATAAAGATAGTTTCTAGATTGAATTGTATAACTTGAAAGTCAATTAGTGTTTCTTCTTTACTACAATAAGTACAGGCATAATGAGGTGAGATAATACAAACCCCATAATTCACTAAATGCTCTCATTTCTCTCTGCTTGCCGCCCTCTCCCTCTTCATTATAATTCTTCAGTTAAATAAACCGATAACACGTTATCAACACGCTTTTGACGTTGCGTTAAAGAGAGTATGTCCATATTTAATGAGGGAAGTGTTACCTTTCAACCATTCTTATTATGGTTCACATATTATAACAGAGGTTCTGGATTTGTCCATAGATTCACCTTCACAAGTCAGGGTTTCTTCAGAGTTTCTAGATGAACCAACCTTATCAACTCCAATCCAAGCACATCTTTAATCCACATGAAATCGAGCGCTTACACCCTTCACCACCTCCCTCTCTCTGCCTCTCTTTCTCCACCTACACAACCCTCGAACTCTGACAAAAACACACCCATTGAATCGAAAAAAAGTAAAGGTACATGATTTACCAACTCCCAATTAATCCACACTGAAATCGAACCCTCCCGCCCTTCTTTCCAGGCCAAGGTAACCCTCTCTCCCTCCCTCGCCAACAAAAACACTCATTGAACAAAAAATAGAGGTATAAGATTGCCAAGTCACAGTTGCAACGCATCTTCAATCCACCTCAAGTCCATTCCTCACCCTAGCTCCTCATCTTTGCCTCTCTTTCCCTGTCTCCAATGAAAGATACCCATTGAGTAAAAAAAATTCAAAATTTTTTAATTACACCGGGTCACAACAACCCGGTTCTACTCGTGAGCTCGTCCCTTCTCGGCCTTTAGATCCTCATCCCTACGAATGGTCCGCACGCTTTGTCCGCACATTATACACGCCCTTATAGAGATTGTGATGTCTAATTGGGTACCATCTACAGTTTTATTACAGTAAAGCCCACCTTTAATTAACTGCAAAAACCTTCCTCAGAGCCTCAGATCCTTGTACGTTGACAATCATCTACCACATTCATGCCCATCATTATTCATGATTTTAATGATTAATTAGACAAAAACAAAATCGTTGATAAAAAAAAAAAAAGGATAAAAACAAATTCCAAGCATCTGTAAGTTCGCTAATTTATCTCAAAAAATACTAATCAACTACAAAACAATTACAACAACAGAATCTTTTTTCATTAAGTGGAGTCGGTTGAGTCAAATACAAAACAATTAATCTCAAAATAATAATACGCCCGGGTCAAGTACAATCAAACAATCAGCTTGCCCTTATTTATTCTCACTGTATTTGACTGTTGTAGTCCTCTTTTAGCTACTCAAATGACGCTAAAAATCCCAAGAAAAATTACAGCAAGCTTTCTGTCAGTCAACAGAAAACATCGGAAACACGGTGCCTTGTTTCTTCTCTTTTTCCCAAGTACATATTGAAAACACAAAACAAGAAAAGAAACACAACCAAACTATTCATTCTCGACAAGAACCTTTGGACCTTGATCTGGATTGAAAACTATTACGTCGTCTCTACTCTGAGAAAAATCTTCATGAACTCGTATACAAGATAACTTATAGCAGCTGACGGTAAAACCTGATGAGCACATGAGAAAAAGGTCAAGAAACTTCACCGTAAACCTGATCGAATGACAAAAGGGCTCGACAAAAGATGTGTTCTCATCTAAAGAATCGTCAGAGTACCATACCTGCAATAGGCTTGGTGTTAATCCTGCATAAAGAGCAGGTACACCTCCTTGCTCAACAATTTTCACACAAGTTGTGAAAGCACTTAACTTAGTTGCCCGAACTTGCATCTGAAGGTGTCTCCTCACAACTTCAAATGGATATGTAGCAGCTTCAGAACAAGCACCGGCAATTGCCCCATATAGTAATGTTCGAACAGGACCCAACTCCAGTTGTTCCATAGCATTCAGTTTATCACCTTCTTGTTTCTTGTGTTGGATCCTTTTCATCCCTTCAGGTGAATGCAGATAAGCTGATTTCAGTATATCATAGACACCATAGAAAACTGCACCTGAAGGTGCCATGCTCACAATCGAGGGTAGTAAACCCTTGTAAAGCGAAAAGAACCCTTCAGTTTGGATCATGTGGCGGAAAGCACCAATTACACCACCCAAGGTTTCTCCACCAGGTGCTACCATCTTTGTCCTGATCTGAAAGAATTGACATTTTAGAATAGGACTTGGGCCAATTCTTAAGTGCAAGCAATAGAATTCAGCCTATGCACACTCTTACGGTGTGACCTATAAAAGTGTGGGTCATGGACGATCAATCCTATTCTGCACATTGAACTACAAAGTTGAAGAAGAAATAATTTGAACACAAATTAAGAGAGAAACCAGGAAAAAAGTGCTTACGAGATGAAGCCTAGTTTGGTACTGAGGTGATTCTGAAAAAAGTGGCTATCAAAAAAAGTTGGGAGCTTTTTTCTGTTTGGTAAACATTCAGCTTCAATTTTTTCCACAGTTTTAGGTGAAAAAAGCCAAAAACACAAAGCTGCAAACCCAGCTTTGAAAAACCAGCTTTTTTTCACATTTGTTTTACATAAAAGTTTATCAAACACTATAAAACTGTTTTTTCTTTTTCAAAAGCACTTTTACAAAAAAGTTTACCAAACACTCTGCTGCTTTATTTCACAGCTGCTTATTCTCACAGCACAACAGAAGCAGTTTTATTTCAAAGCACAGCAATACCAAACCAACCCGAATCAGCTGAACCAAATAACAGTAGAAGGTTGCAACATACCGTGTCCATAGGTAAGCAGAGCAAAGTGGCTGTAATTCCAGCCGCGGCACCAGCAAGAAACCTCTCGTAATTTGTGGACTCCTCATTCCGAAACAATTTCATCAGCTGATTTCTGTAAGTATCGTAAGCATAGAAATTGATAGCCTTAAAGGGTGCCGTGCGAAGAATATTGACAAAATTTCCTTTCCAAAATCCCTTCAGCCCTTGAGAAGCTGCAATCGTCCTGATGAGCTCAAAAAGGTTCTTCTGTTCACCTCGAACTATATATTCCAGCTTTAGCCTCTCAAGAGGAGCAACAAACGTCCTAAGAAAAAAGAAAACACCAAGAAGTTTCTTTTGAATCCTGGAGAAGCATATGATGTACCATTAACCAAATTAAAGCATAACAAATGATTCAGAACCGAAATCACATCGAAAAGAGAAATGGACGCTCCATCTTTAGTTGCTTCAAAATCACAAGATAACAGAAACTGACAATTGGGTTTTTGTTTTCCATTTATAGACCAACTCCAATGGCGTCATATAAATTTAGTTTTTAGTCCAAAGTTTGCCCCCATTGCATGTATCTCTAACGGTCGAGAATATCCAACAAAGGCGTCATACAAATTTTGTTTTTAGTGCAAAGTTTTTGTTCAAATATCCACATAAAATCAAAACCACATCACAAAAATTTATTTGATCGGAATTTGAAATCAAAAAAAAAAAATTTCTCTTTATTTGGAGGATCAAAAACTTCAAAATCACCATCTTAAAAAAATAAAAAAAACAAAACAAAAACGCTTGTTTTCATATGACAATGTATTAGAGTTTTAGTCAAAATAAAACGTAAGGGAAAAATTGCGTGATGGCAAAGGGTTTGAATATTTGACATGGATTTATTGATAAATTTTAATTTTTATATTAATTTCATTTGCATTTAATGATAATTATATAAAAGGGCTGAAAAAATAATTCATATTTAAAATTTAAGTGAAGTTATACTGATTCAAATAAAATTTTCTTAAAAGTTTTTTGAGTCCACCTGAGTCAGCTTAAAAGTACAAAATTCTAAAACACGGGAATGGGAGAAGCATAATGTAATTCTATTGTCAATCTAAAAGCGTGTGGTAATTCACAAACAAATACAACTCATTCGGGTTTAGAGTGATCGAACCTTGAAACCATAGCAGCAACAGCTCCAGACCAAAGGTGCTTGGTGGTATTCATAGCATCCGATCCCTTCCGTGCAATCTCACCCTCACCCTCGAACACCGCCACAATGGCGGCCTCCTCCTCCGAGGACGAAAAGCTTTTATCCCCATTTTGCCCCAGGACTTGTCCTGATTCCCGAACATACCTTTCCTCACCACCATCCCTTTCACTCCCCTTTATCGACAAGCTCACAGACAAAAGCAGCCCGCCGCCACCACCTCGTCTTAAACCTTCAAAACGCAGCGTCTTGTGGCAGTGGCGCCTTAAACAACAGGCCGAACCGGAACGCAAACGGGTACGGTGAGAAATCAAAGAAAGGAAGGAAGGAGGGATGGTGTTGCTGGGGTGCAGGAACAGTCCTCCGAGGGAGATCGGATCGGGATCGGGATCAGACGGGTAGGAATTGATGAAACGGGTGAGGAGGTTGAAGCTGGAGTGGTCGGGTGGGAGCATTTCCGGGGACGTGAAAACGGCGTCGTAGAAGGGTGGAGGAGCGTGGGAACTAACGACATTTAGGGGTTAATAAGAGAGTGGGGAATAGAAGAGGGGGAAGAAGGAAGCTTGAAGAGGACGAGAGAGAGAGAAAGAGAGAGAGAGAATCGAATAATTAGAGAGAATGTTTGGAATTGTTGCGGGAAATGAAAGCGAAGGGTGGGAATTTTGAATTGGTGAAGGGTGATTGTGGATTTGGTGCTTGGTTTCCATCGCCTTCACTTCATTTCAGTATCTCTGGTTTGGATGATTGCTTGATTGAACCCTTTCTGTTTGGGACTTTGGATCCCACCAACCTCCAAACCTCCAAATACTTGCTCCCTTTCCTTACAAACCATAAAATAATCGGACCAGAATCTGACGGCTGAGATTGGGCGAGCTCACGCGTAGAACCGGGTAATCTGCTACATCGAACGGGTCAAATTTCCCCGGGCAAAATCAGTCTCCTCCCCTTTTTCTGCAGACCACTCCATCAATTTCTTTGTCAATTTCCCCCCCAGCGAGTCGGGAGTGCTGAGCGTGAAGAGCAGCGGCACTTCTTCAAACAGAAAGATAGGATATTTTGTCGCTAAGAAGAAGATTGAGAGCTCTTCAAGCAAGCAGGCAGCTGATTTCAAGCACAAATTTGTGCACACTGTCACAAAAACTGAGGTTGAACCCATCACCCATGTCAAATATTTGATTAATTTTTTGAATTTTTTAACTTTTTGACCTCAAAGTTGTCTTCTTTGGATTGGTTTTTCAATTGGGTGAATTGGGTTTGAGGGGTTGTGAATTGATTTAGCTGTTTTTGATGGACTATGAGATGTTTTAATGACTCGCTATAGAGCCTAAGCTAAAGTCCCAAGAGCAACATTCTGGCCACCACCTTCTGGGACAACCAGGTATGTATGTATGTAGCCTTACATTCCGTTTGGTTGCTAAGAAAGTTTTTCTATACGATTCGATCGGATTCAATTTCTGTCATCAGACTAGCAGGCAATATAATATATGATTAGGATTCACGTATAATTATGTACTACAGTATGCTTATTGCTTATGTATCTGTATGTATGATTCATGGGAACTGAAGTAGATACACGATTGGATTGAATTTATAATTTCTTGTCTTGTCTATGCAACCAAACACAGTTTATTGGTAGGATTAAGTAATGACTGCTGGTATGCCCGTGTTTAGGTGCAATGCTGGGAGATACACCAGAGTGGACAAAATCTTGCTAGTGTGGCCAAGGCATCCATACCCCCACGACCAACCGGTAATCTCTCTCTCTCTCATGAAACTAGTTTGGTAGTCAAATTATTTTGTTTCGCAAGTTTGAATTCCAACATATTGTGGAATTAAGGATACATCCATACGCAACAATGTGTCAACTATAGTTTTTAATTATAACTAGGGTATGAATTAGAAATATCCGAGATGAGTTTATAAATGCTAGATGGTCTGCCTTTGCTTATAGAATTCGAACTTGTTACCGCTTTACTAGGCCCTGGCAGAGCTAGGGGAGTTTACATCCGGCCATGGCCCTCTGATATGATTCATAACTTCTGCTCTTCATAGCAACTTAGCGTTATTTCTGGTTGAATATAAAACAAACAATAGTTTTGCTGTTTGTTTCTAGATATATTACTCAGGAATCGAGATAAGAGTAGTTTTACACAAATACTAAATATAACAAAAAAAAAAAAACAAAAAAAACGGTGAGAAATATATTGGACGCAAAATGTTCTTACGGTTACAATTGGATGCACAATTTTGCTTAGATAAAAACAGTACAATCTCTGTGTAGACAATTGCTTTTAGAATTGTTATATGTTGTTGATTTTAAGCAAGTAATTTTTGTACTGTCATTCTACGATCTCGTTTAAAAAGATAAGAGTCCTTTCAACAAGGATCACCACTATTCCAAAGTTTTACTGATACATACATATCTTTGTGCATGCAAAAGTATGTGATTTAATTTGAGATCACATTAGATCAATGTATGTCAATTAGGGACATTCTGTGATATAACTGGGAAGGATATATGTCTATCTGTATAGGTTTAGTGCTCAACTTGGAAGGATGATGGATCTACTGTGTTCTCTGGTGGTTGTGACAAGCAAGTTAAGAGTGGCCTTTGGCTGGTAACCAACCAGTGACCGCTACATACATGATGCACCCATAAAAGAGGTTGCTTGGGATCCCGGAGGAAATGAACTACTTAGTCACAGGAATCTGAGGAGAGAGGAGGCACGACACAGGTGTAAGCTATGACAATTACAGGGTGTACTCCAGCGCGAGCTTCCCAGGTAGTTGGAACCCAAGCCTTGTCTACATTAATTTTGATGAGTGGACTTTGAGGGGCTTTGCAAGTGATGGTTCTCTGTACTGCAGGCCCATGGAGAGATAGGAAAATTGATTGTACTGATGCAATGTCCGATACAAGCTTGGTGCCCTGTCGTTGAAAATAGCCGAGCATCGCTCTTTCCACATTAATTCTGGAAGGTTAGATGCTACCGGTTAATTAGCCATAGAAGATGCCAGCAGTCTAGAGACACCATAGTTGGAGTTGGCCCAGGAATAGTCATCAAAGGCAGAGGGTGAGTGCGATCGGTGATGAGCAAATAATTGCTGGGAATTTGAAGCATGTCAATTTTATAAGTGGGCACCGCCAACGCCATCAATTTTATAAGCACTTATTTGTCGACGATATTCCTATGTCAAGACACAACTCACAAGCCGGACGAGTCTCTGAAATAGTTAGAAAAACCCGTGACCCTCTATTCTCTCATGTTTCAGCTACTTTTTTGTCTCTTTTCCTTCTACTTTAAAGCTTCACGAGCACCAAAATTGCTACGTGAAGACAAGTATCTAGCAAATAGTTAAAACCGCACACAAGATATTTACCTTTTGCTCAAGGTTTAAATATTAAAATGCCCTCCATCTTTTTCGATATGTCCTTAATGTATACCTACATGTTTTAGCTTTTGTGGTTGCATCTCGGAATTAAAATTTAAACGACGTGAATTAGTTCAGTTGCTCACACCATAAGTTAGACAAATCGTTGATTAATTAGCGACCGAAAGCGACAAATTGATTGGCCATTTGTTAAAAAAGTGGGGAACTTGCACTCAGTTTAGGTATATGTTGAACAAGATGGTAGTGATATTGTTCTTTGTTCGGAAGAAAGAAGATGAGTGAGTGATTGGTGAAGAGAAGATTGTTTGTTCTTAAACTAATGGTATGGATGTGTAGCAATATATTCTCAAGTTCTTTCTACGTAATTAAAAATTTACAAATGGTGAATTCTTTTGATATATACATTTCACTTTGAATTTGGTCATTTAATAAATGTAATCAATATAATCACTATCTTTAGGCCTAGCCCAACCCTTGACTTAAAATTCAAATTTTAAGTTCTAAACTTATTCCAACTTGCTCCAATTTCTTGGGTCAAATATGAGTTTTAACCAAAAACTCATTTCTAGGGCAAATTTAGGCCAAAATTCCTTCAAGGTTAATAGGTTGGCTTATCATATATGTGTACTTTTTTTTTTAGTTTTATATTTCAAAATTCATTGAATCGAACGACTAACTTCTAATATGATTAAATCCAACGATCAAAAAATTAAATGATTCAAACTTAAATCTAATGGCTAAAATAATTTTTTAAAATTCGTTCATGTGTAGTGTTCCACGAGTTTCACATTGTTGGTTTAGTGATTTTTTTAATATTTATCGGAATCAAAATATTTTTTTTTGTTAAAGTGTTCATAAAATTAAATTAGGATAGTCTACATAATTTATTATTATATTTTTTAAATTTACTTTAAAAAAATAATCATAAATTTATTTTTTAATAATCTTCGGCTAAAAATGTAACACAAAAGGGTTAGGACAAAAAAACTGTTTCTGAGCTAAAAATTTTAAGTTTCAATGTAAAAATAAATAAATAAATAAATATTAATTTCTACTAATTAATAAAATCCTCTTTGTCAACCAAAAGAGGATGGAAGGACAAATTAGTCTTCTATCACACAAAAAAAAAATGATGGGCAATAATGTAATTTCACAAGTTCAAATTTTACTGTTTTTTATTGAAGCTTCACCTACATGTGATGTTAAAATACCTCCAATATTAAAAAAAAAAAATTAAAAAAAACCTCCCACTCCCCCACATTCTCTCTCTCCCTCTCTCCTTCTCATTTTCTAAAAAAATGTGTTTATACACACAAAGTGTGTAGGCAAATGCTAGTATATATATATAATTTAAGGGAAAACTTGATATAAGTCCAATTTTTTGAGCCAATAATGCTAGTATATATATATAATTTAAGGGAAAACTTGATATAAGTCCAATTTTTTGAGCCAATAGTAAGAATAGTCCAATTTATTAAAATAAGTCCAATTCCTTAAATTTAACTATTTTAGAGTGCTACTATTACCACCTCTTTGTCTTATTTCTACACCCACTCCTTATTAAAAAAAATTTAATTACCGATGTATCCTCACGTAATATGTCAAATAAGGACTAAGGGAAACAAGATCAGATCGTTCACTTCCACCCACACTCCCAACAACTCGTAATCTCAATTCCCAAACGTCTCGTCGTCACTTTATTCCTTCTATATTTTAATTTATGTTTATTGGATCCTAAATTATTGAATCGCGAATTGATCTTTGTATTCGTCCAAACACACTGAATGCGTCAAGCCATATATGGATGTCATCGGAGTTTCTTTCTCTACCGATTTCACTTCTTATTCTTTTGGCTTTGATTCTATGATTGGTTGAGCGACTAACACTTCGTTCTATTGTTGCATCACCTCCGTGGTCAGCCATGGGGATAGTCAGGATGGTGGTAAAAAGTGCAGAAGGGTGGTCGCTGTTTTATTTCCCTCTATTTCAATCGTATAAATATAATCATTTTCCTTATATTAAAATATTATTTAAATAATTAAAAAATAGATGGAAGAACAGGCTAGAGAAGCAATATGGATGTCAAGGGGTAGGTTGTGCTTCTCATCAGTTAGTAATGGCTATAGGAAGGGGTAGGTTGTGCTGGTAAACGATGTCAAGGGTGAAGATTGGAAGGGAACTTTGGGGATAATGGTGGGTGGGAAGATAGTAGGTTATTTTTCTTATTTTTATGGTGGGTGAGATTATAACGTATGTGTAGAAATAGGACAATTGTAAAAAAATTTATTATCTCTTCAATGAAAAAAAATTTATTGTAAAAATCAAATTTCTTGCTAATTATCTTTTTAATTATTTCTTTGTATTTATTTTTTTGTTATTTCTTGTTCTTCCTCCTGCTTTAACCCATTTATAGATTTTATTTTAATTTTTATAATCAACCTATATCACAGGTTAATTGTATTTATCTACCTATACGACATATTCTATTTCATAGTCAACTTGTTACAAATTAATGCTTCTTGCTTGTAGGTATATTATGTTTTTTTTCTACCTTTTAGTTAGGTTTCACATCTCACTTATAGGTATAATATACATTCATATATTTGCTACTTGAGTTAGGGTAGAATGTTTTGCAAATAGATTTATGTTAGTATATTAGTTTTTTTTGTTATAAGATATTAATTAGATATTTTGGAGTTGAAAAATGCATAATATTAAAAGATTTTAATTGATTTTTAATATTTTTAGAAAATATAAAACGAGTATAAAATAAATAAAAATATCTAATTAGATAATTGAACTCACTCTTAAAAACACTATATGTTTTTGGACCCGGATCTACAAGCCCCATAATTTAATTTCAAATATATAGTAGTTGCAGAAAAAGGGCCAGGGGCAAAATGGTCAGTACGTAGATACAATTGGATTAGATGGAACATGTCGAGCGAGTGGGGGATGACGTCACAGCCAGTAGCCTTTCCTGCGAATCGCGCCATTTACAAAAGAACAAAGCTAAAATACAAAGCCCTCCTTCTCCATCATCCCATTTAACGTTAACTCCCCTCTCTCTCTAAGACTATGGATTCTTGAAATTGCAGAAACTTGAAAAGCGAGCAGTAGCGGGTGACTCATAGTGGTGGGACGGAGACCTAATCTCTTTGCAATTACAAACTTGCTGCAATGGCGGCTGTTAATACCTCCGATTCCGATAAGGTATCATTTCCAATGACTTTTTCTCTCTCTCTCTCTCTACTTTTTAGTTTTAGGTAGCATTTTTGAATTTCTCTGCTCTCTCACCTTGTGAGAAAATTAAATTTCCAAGTTGAAACAACAAATCATCTTTCACCTAACAATCTGCCTAGAATTTTGGAGACACCCAACAACTTCAAAAAGCTGGTTTTCTCATGGCTGCAACGGTGGCTAATCTGGACATTTTTATGTTTAGTATTTTCTGGGTTAGTTTCTTGGCTCCGACTTCCATACTCCATCATTAAATGATACCCAAATCATCATTAAATGATACGGAGTATGGAAGATAAATCCGAGTTTTTCATAGATAGTGCATATCCAAAGGCCATGTTAAATCCTAGGTGGAATGTCTGCATATTTGAAATCAAAATTCTATCCAACCGAAGTGTTTTTTGCTAATTGGATTTGAAAGCTTTGTCAAATTTGACATCAATTTCAAAAAAAAATTGATGTCATTTTCGGCTGGAGAAGTACAAAATTTGACATAAAACTTCAGATTGCCTCAGCCATCAATTGTAATTTTTTTTATTTTAACAAACGATATTATCTACCTTGGAGGAGGGGGTGGGTTTAGCCTCAATGGGCTAGCAATAATATGATTCAAATTTGCCTTTGGTGAAAATCGAATCTAAAAGCTCTCACTAGCAAGTGAAGAGGAATACCGTAGTACTAAGTGGCACCATCAATTGTAATTTCACATTTCTTTTTGTGGGTCAAAACATTAACATACAGCTAGCTGGTTGATAGAGATTTTCATTTCACCGTTGGTGGGTGGGTGGACCAGGACAATCATGTTGGAATGAAGGGAATATCGAAGGGAATATCAAAGGGAAGGTTAGTAGAATTAGAGCACTCTTTTACAGTTCTTGCTGTTGATGGTGATTGCATCCATGGAATCTTACCGACATTAAAGATTTCTACGCTGGTCAGTGAGAATCAGAGAACAAGAAAGGGTTTTTGTGAATAGAGCTCTTGAGATAACACGGAAATCCCAATGAATTTTATTCAACTGAACTTGATTAATTACCACTGAATCAGTGTTAAGGTTTAGACTTAAATGACTAAGCCTAACTAAATTGCAACTAACAGTACACATCCGCACATGGTCATGCTGATGTGGCACATCAAGGTTGCCCATTGCTTTCCAACCGAATTTTATTTTGCTGGTGATTGTAATATGCTTGTTCAACTTTCGAATGGCAAGTCTACGTCACCTTTACTAATATTAAGCTTGTTTCAGATTATTCTTCAGTAACTATCCATATGTTTCCACTTAGTGGGAAAAGGCTTTGTTGTTGTTGTTCTAACTATCCGTATATTAGATATATTGTTGGAGGTATATGCGATGCTTTGATGTTGCTGAAATGATTTAAGACAAAAGATGGATTCAGGTGCTGAATGTTGCATCTTGCTTGTTCAGTGCAAGAATGAAACTTTGAGTGTTCTGGGATGAATAGCCCCAATCCTCAAAAACGTTGTCTAATACCAATTATCTTACCCTTTAGTGACCAAAAGGGGAGAAGGCAACCAGGAAAAACAGAAATAACTTATCTCCTTTTTTTTTTTGAATTCTGGGAATTCTCTTAGGCCTGTAAATCATTTGTATGACACTGGTTTTGTTCCAGTCATGATATCTATTCCAACCAAATATCATACGTTGGATGCTAAATTTTATTTGAGGTACAGTTTTATGCAGGCATTGATCCTAGGAACTGTGGATGGATGTTGCAGCTTACCTGCTAGCTATTCAAGTTTTGAGTTGCTAAGCCAAACTCTTGAAGAGGTCGACCAGCATTGCTCTCTAGGTCTCTCTCTCCGTCTCTCCGAACTAAGGAAAAAAGACAGCTATAGCAATTAGTTCGATTTGATGGCTATGTACGCTCTGTTAAATTCTTCAACATTTCTGGCATTTTGTTTCAGATATTCTTCCTATTCTGTTAGAGAAGGCTCCACTTCAAGCAAGGCTAGGATGTCCTTTTCACAGCTCACATGTAAGTCCTCCCAACAATTAAAATTTTGCTGAATAGTATTATGCTATTTGTGGGTTTGTGTTGGTTTCATTGCTAATTTAATAAAGCATAGTCCCCTTCTTAAGATGGGTCCTGTTTTCTAAGAAGTATAAGGGATAGCATTATTGTGTCCATCCTGCAATGTGATCCAATGACCCAAACCATCTAAATTTTGTAAAGTTATATAAGAATCATTCTTGCAAAAAATCAAATGAAATGGAAATCCTTGGACCATTTGATTATCATGTTCATTGTTTTTGGGAACACTGTGTGTTTGTTTATTTGATCATATTTAGTGACTAAATGTCATCTGATTTAGTTGTAGCTATTTTTTCCTTGGATAATGTTAACAGATGGACGGTCTGGATCATTAGATCACATTGAAGGCCACTTGATAAACCAAAAACATGAATACACCTACTGATGTGTGATTTTGTATTACATTAGGAACTAAAAATATGTGTAGAATTTGACATCTAAGTCTACCTTCCTTGCAATTGATCATATGACATAGACATGTATGAATAATTGATGTTTTCATCATATACCCAGACAGAGCCATTAGACTTAACCAACTATATGTTGTTTCACAATGTTATGCCATAAAATATATCAATAATTTTTTTTTCCTTTTTTTTTTTGGATTCTCTCATTGACCCGCGTTGGTGGCATGGGGTTTCTGAAGACTCATCTACTTCAGCTTCCTGATTCCGTTATCAGTATTGGCTCCTAGTGGAGACCCCGTTTTGTTATTCTTGAATCACTTAGTTTTTTTGCTGTTATTTTTTATGTCACGTAGTTTGTTTACACAAAACTAAAAAAATCTCATTGATGTTCTCATTGTTGTTGTTTCAAGTAAGGCTTTCCTGTTTCAGTTTCGCAACACTTTGAAGTTTTCTGTTTGTGAAGGCCACAGATGTCTATAGCATTTCAATGTTAGCCACAGAAAGCAACCGTCTACCATGCGCTTCAGTGTTTGGATTTTTGAACTTTTCAGAAGTTTCTAGTTCATCTAAAGGTCAGATGTGCATGGATGCTCAGCTGAGTTGCCAGAACTACAATGATTTACAAGCAAATAGGGCAGATTCTCATCCCCCATGCATCATTGAGATAGATCTGGAGAAGGGATATATTCAAGCACCAGAGTTGAAAGAGGAAGCTGTTGAAAGTTTAAAACGCGAGGGCTTACTAGCGGTAAGTTACAATAGCTTATGCTATATCCTTGATATTATCTAGAATAAACTTGAAATTGGGGGTGGTCGAAAAATATCATACTACTATACATTGATTGCTATTGATTTTGACATTTTCTGTTTACCCTTGTAAATTTAATGTCATTGGCCTAACACTGTCAGAGAGTATTTCGGAGACAGGCAAGCCTAAAAGTTGGTGGGAAACTTTTGCAGCTTCTATTCAACCATGGCACTTCAAGAGGTATGTAAACATTTCTATACCTTCAAATTTGTACAGTTTATTTTCTAAATTATTAATCGGTGAGTCATTATTTTTCCATACGTCGTTGCAAGTAATAAGGCTAGGATATCCTCCTGGTGAGAAAGCCCTTATAGAGTCTTAACGATGTTTTCTAATTGGATGTAGTGGGTTAAATATTGCACATCTATTTTAATGGAAGGGACACATATATTGGACATATCTTCTAGGGTCTCCTGTATAAGATGCATTTTGCATCGATACAATCAATTTCTCTAGCAGCATTAGGTTGAGTCATCTGTCACTTAATGGAAGGGATACATATGTTTGACTTGTCCATAAAACTTCTCTTTTATCGGAGAATTAAAGCCTTTCATAATAGTTTAAACAATCTTGTGTCTCTCCATCAACTGCCGATTGGTTTTGGGTTGGATGATCACGTTCTAATAAAATGGGAAGTTGATTTTTACTCTCATATTTCAATAGATAACGCAGTGACTGAGAGAATTCATGAAGCGCCAAATAACCGGTGGAAAAGATGCAAACGCACTACCTCATTTGATTCCAGAAAAGTCGTCATCTTTTTCTCAATCTTGTAAGTAGTAAAACAAAGAAGCTGCTTAAATATTTGGTTTTAAATTTTTTTAAATGTTTCCTTCAGAATACCATTAGTTTTACTACATGTCATGAGTAATTTAAACCAGTAATTGACAGACAAGTGTAGTTTATCATGACAACAATGAGATGAGGAATATTGACATTTTAATGTTTTTCTTGTTTTGCTGTCAATAGCAAAGCTCAATGTTCTAATTTTTACATTTTACCATCACTAGTTTTAAATTAGTACTTGACTCGATTGGACAAAATATAATTCTCAGAACAATAGTAGGATGGAGAGGCATTTTATCTTAGGGTTTGATTAATCTGAATATTCAAGCTTTCAATTATTTTGCATTAACATAGATCGTTGAGTGCTCAGATTCCATTTCATACTCAATGTTATAAGGGGCCAACGTAGGACCTCAGGTCTTCCTTCTAACCTTTCTTCTTTAGATGTGCATCATTATATATATTTGAGTGTAATATTATCGAATGAGAAGTAAATTCATTAAGTTATTATTGATTCAATGATTTAGAGTTCCTTTGGAATTAACCCTTTTTAAACTCCATCAATACAAGGTATGGTTTACATAAAAAAAAAAAAAAAAAAAAAAATCCAAGGTATGATTCAATCATTTTGTTAGTGCATGATTTTTTTTGCAGCAAATTAGATTGTACTTCTTGGTGCACCTCCTTTTTAGATTAAATTCTGGTAGGTGTGATAGGTAAGCTACAGTTCAATCTGTGCTTTTTTGCATGACTAGATTTCCCCTTTCATATCTAGACATCCATCTAACAACCACAACTTTTTTTGTTCTTTTAATTCTCCTTTGATTTTTGGAAATAAAATCCGATAGAATGTTCGCACTATCTAACCTTCCGATAGAAATGGATGCAACAGAATGATATCGTTATCTTCATATGCAATCAAAACCTCATATCCTTCAGTTGGGGAATATGCATAACCAATAAGAGGCGTAAACTGCAGTGTCTCCCTAGTTCTTCTACCAAGGTTGGTCCCTAGAAAGAAGAAAGAGGCTGCATGGTCGCCTACTATGGAAAAGCTTAGCTCCAGAAACAGGATGCTGACTACAAAAAATGTAGTGTCGAACCTTCACCATTTGTAATTCAGCAAGCAGGGGAAAATTGCTTCAAATAGAGGAAGATAATGTTTTCTGAGTGAGAGTTAAGGGATAGTGAAGATTCTTGGCCAATACTGGGATGAAAGAGTCACACACTGTTGTTTTATTCATCCTTCTTGGTCTAGTGTGTCTGCTTTTGATATTGAGCTTCAGAGTTCAAACAATTATGAAATAGATGAGATGTAATATGTTGCTGGATTTGTAGACAAATTTGAAAACACCATTCTAGTTTTTAAGATCAACACGAGAGATATGGGTAGTGAGTATCAGTCATAGTGTGTAAAGTGCTAGGAAAATACATGGTTTCTGGTCTGCACACAGCCAGTTCAATCAGGGAGGCCATATTTTGTAGTGAATATAGAAAATTATAGATATAAAAAATATGTGGTGTGTTGCTAATTGATGCTTTCTAAGTAAGGCACCAGCAGAATCTGTGGCCCTTCTCTTGCCTACTGTTCCATAGCCAGGAGTTATGGACCTTCATAGTCTGAATGGCCTGCTGTTTGCGCGAAGAGGTGGGTCTAAAAGCTAGTGAAAAGTTATCCCTCTTTGCATCTTTTGGTGCTTACGATTTGGGTGGAATGGCAGAGCTATTGATGATGCAGAGAATTCTTTAATGGACTTGAAGTTCAACTTGCAACCTGGTTGAATGGACTAGGAAGACACCTGCAACTTAATTCTTTCTTCGGTTAGGTTCTATTTTTCTTTTGGTTCCTAATCTTTTGTATACAGCTTTTTTCTGGGCTGGCATCCTTTGTCAGAGAAGAAAAACGGAGGAAAAATCAGGGCATTGGATCTGAAATAGAATGGGGAACTGCAGATAGTAATGGGGTAGGCTTTAAAGGACTACATGCAAAATTGCAAATCTAAGTATATTAATCTATCGATACTATTTTGTATAGTCATATTATACTTTCTATCCGTGTATTATGAAGTTTGTTTTGAATCATGTCGGTGTGACTTGTAGTGTTTAATCCTTTTTTTATCTTTGTGGTTATTCTACTGCTCTACACCAATGTGTGCTCTGTTGATTGGAACTTAGGTAGCGAGTTTCTTTTTTCGGTCTGTTTTGCATCTCTTTAGTGAAATGAGTTCTATTTTGATTGAAAATTTGCAAAAAGTTGTGTATTTTTCCCTAAAAAAAGGTGTCCTCAATCTTTACGGGTGCTGATGCGCTGTTGAAAGTTTGAAATGACCTGTACAAGTATTGACGTGCGTAAGTATTTGGTCTTAAAGTATGTTGTAAACCCAGGAATCCGGTTTCACTTTTCTTGTCCGTTCTTATCAATGACGATCATTAATCTCTGTTTTGCAGGTCAAGTTTGGGGACAATGATCTTGATATATCTGACATTGAGAGTTAGGCAGAATGCAGACGGTTTCTTTCACGATACCTTCTGATTCGCGACGCTTACTTAGCTGCTCTGCTGTTGCTGCGTCTCATGCACTGGTGTTGAAGTAACCTTGTTCATAATGTAAATATTGATACTTTACGGTGTCTTATTGCAATATTTTTAGTTTGGATAATCTGCTTGACTCTTCATAAGATATTAATAGGCAATGCTTCTTTACTAACCAAGTCGTCTATTGCGCAAGAGGCCTTCTGAGTGGTGGAGATGAGTGTTGCTCTTGTATCACGGTGTAGATTCAAACTGGTCGCCTCACTAATCTAACAAATCTATCCTTTAGGAAAAAAAAAAATCGTCTAGTGGAATTGGAGGCTTCTCTCATCTTTGTTTGGTGTTCAAAACTGAAAAAAATACGTTCTAACCTACTCTGGTGTCTGAAGAGAAGCAGCCGTTCGAATTTTTGGTTGTAAAAAATTATTCTATTTCCAATAAACAACTTGGTGTAGAAACCAAACACGCGCAATCTAGGTTATTAATATAGTTTTTCGTTAAAGTGAATAGTACCGGAAGCTTTTCGTTAAAGTTTCCATGGGCAAATTAATGAAAATAACTTGAAAACTTTGAATTTTAATGATAAGGACAAAATAAAGGGTAAAGTGAATAGTACAAGGATTGACTTTTTAGTGTATAAATATGATTTTTCGTTAAAGTGAATAATATCGGGAGTTTTTCATTAAAGTTACCTATTAATATCTATAAGGTCTATGTCCAACCAAATTGGCTATGGCGGTGCAAGTCTTCTTCTGCATCAAAGTCTAAATCTACTTTCACGTAGTTTATATTGATTTAGTTTAGAATATCACTTGTGTGTATATAGAGGAGCGCTCAAGCTCTAATTAGTTAGTAACTTAAGATGATGTTAATCACACATTGACCACACTTCACATTATTATTTTTTTCTTCATGATATGAACAGTATGTATTTTAAATCTTCATTCATAGATTATCTTTATAAAATTTCATCTAAATCGGAAAATGTTTCATTATCTAATTATGACAAACATAAAATTGGCATGGTTGCCCAAAAAACAATTAAGTTTTCAATTTAATAATCGAATGGCTAAATTGTGACAGCCCGTCTCGGACTTTTCGTACCGTAGGGGTGAAATGATGGTTTTGCCCTTGGTATGTTTGTTTTGTTATGTGGTCACTATGGGGTTTTGGTTGGTTGATTTTGGACCACACACACACCCCCACACTCATCCTCATCCCTTCACTGTCCCGTATCCCTATCCCTCTCTCTCTCTCTCTCTCCCTTTCCTATCTCCATATGTACGAACAACACCAAAACAAGTGGGAATCGTCACAGATCATGGAAACAAACTACATTTTTGTGCTCGTGAGGTCCTTAGAAGTTCAACCATAACCATTTCAGGTAAGGATACCTTCGCTTTCACGTCGAACTCGGGATCCCCGATTTGGTCACTGTTCATGCACACGTTAATTCTTGTGTTTTTGGGAATTTCAAGCTTGTAGGAAGCTTGGTGAGGTCCTTAAGAGCTCGGGGTGGTTTGTTTGAAGGTTTTGGACGTCGGGATCATGAGTTGCAGGTTTGGATGGAGTTGGTGGTGTTTTCTCAGTGAGTTTCCGTTGGTTTTAGTGCTTGAAAGCAGTATGGATTTGTTCCTCTTGTTGTAAGCTTCATTTTGGTACCAATTTCGTGAAATTTGGATGAAAAACGAGTGAGATATCAAGTTTTGAATTTTTCCCGGTTTTCCGGTGCCGTCAATATCAAGTTTTGAATTTTTCCCGGTTTTCTGGCACCAGCGATGGCGCCGGAGGTTGGCTGGAGAAGATGACGGAATATTCCGTCAGTTTGGACAAACTATTCCTAACGGCGTTAACGGAATCAGTTAGATTTAACGGAATATTCCTGACGGCGTTAATTGACGCCATCAGTGTGCCAGGCATGTGCCTGCGCGTGGGCGGCGCGTGTGGCCGTGCCTTGGCCGGTGCGTGAGGGCCGGTGCGGTGTCAGAAAATTATTTTAAAAATATGGGGATGTTTGTGAGGTTGAGTAGATCACGTTGGTGTATTCATACACCCCATTTGAGCATTGTATGAGAAGTTATTTCGTAATGTTGGTTATGTGCTTTAAAATTTACGTTTTTATAGTTGTTTTGCATATAGATGAGACCTATCCTGAGGACGAGCGCGGTCACTCGAGGCAAGGGGGTTACAACCCTTCTACATACCAGTGAGTGGGCTTTTGGTTTTCCGTATATACCTATATACTTGTGTTTTTCCCAGAAAGTGAAATGAAACGTTTATATGTTTTATATGCCATGCATTATGTTTGCATATTTAATTTTGCATTATTAGTTGCATATATATATATATATATATGTTTGGTGTTGTGGACGCACAGATAAGTGCCAGGTAAGTTATGGTTTATGTTAATGTTAAATAGTGATTTGAGATGCATAGAGAGCTCATAACCTGCACCCCCGGTGTTAGTGTTCCCGCCCAGAGTTGGGCACAGTCCTTCACATGATGTTCACCTCCCGCACCACACACTCATCTTGGATCCAATTTAGGTGCACAGTTCTGTCGTACAGACCACTTTAGGTGGTTCCGACTCGTAGGTGACTCGCGATTATTCGCCCAGTCTTCACTTGATCGTAGCACTTGAGCGTACTTATTTTCACCCAGTTCTGTCGTACATACCACTTTAGGTGGTTCCGACTCGTGTGCATGTATAGTTAGTGAGATGGGGATTTGAGCTCTAGATTCAACCATACAGGTTACGTTAAGTGACTCCGGCTGACAGATTACATGGCTTTGATTGGCATTACCTGAGTACTTGCATCTTATTTTGAGGCATTTAGCATGGCATATTTCTGACATGATTTATATATATGTATATATTATATTTTCTGGGATGTATACAGGTTTTACGGCGAGGGGTTAAAATGAAATGGTTTTTGAAAAGCTTTGTTTTTGCCCACTCACGCTTTCTGTTTTGTGCCCCTCCAGATTCTAGTTTGGCTAGCGCTTTTGGTGGCTCCCCAAAGGATTTCTCGACTTATCTGACAGATTATCACTAGTGCAGGACCACCTTTGGGTGTGTTTATTTAGTGTTGTTTCTCCCGGACTGCACTAGGTCTTCCGTGCTCTGAACTTTGTTTTCCACACTTACACTTGCACATGTATGTTATTTACTTTGTGTATAGTTAGGTTTGTTTTTATTCGTACTTTTATTATTATTTCGTAGCTTCTGCATTGTGCACATGGTTACGTCACTTCCACGTGACGGCCAGTATGCCCTAATCTCGGTCGGGGTGTGTCATAAATGATTTCTAATTTGGATTAAATTTTATATATCAAAAGCCATACAAAATCGAAACGTGACTATTAGGAACAAAAGTGGTGTATTTTAAAAAGGCTAGACGTCCCTTGAATAACTATTTGGAGAAAACATAGAGTTAACTACATTTACACCCTTTAGGTTAGGGGTGCAACTTGAGTTGGGCCAATTCGAACCCGCCCATGCCCAACCCGACTTTAAACCCGAACAAGTGGGTGTTTTTATTTTTTTATTTATTTTTTTTTTTTTTTTTATTTTTTAATTTTTTTTTAGTTATAACCTACCCAAACCCAACCCAATTTCAACTCATTCATTGATTGGGTTGAGTTGGGTCGATTATTTGCCCATCCATCCCCAACCCAATCCAACCCGACTAACCAAACCCTATCTAACCAGATTGTAACCCATATTCAATTAATGCTCATACTACACCTAAGTGAGCCAAGTCCAAAAACCAACACGCTTTCTAATATTTTTTTTTGATAAATTGCCCTTTATAATTACTTAAGCTTTTAGGGAATAAGAGGCTTTGATTAGTCAGCCCATATTTGTAGTTTCTAAATCCTAAAGCAAGCTTTATAGTAAATGGATTTATGAAGTTAAGGTTAGTTAGCTTTGATGCTACTTGGCTTAATTTTTTTAGGAATTCTTAGAAAGTAAGTTGTTACAAGATCAAACTTGAAAAAGTTGGGCAACCCCAACCCAACCCAAGTAAACCCTAACCCAATTAAACCCGAGCCCAAATGAACCCAAATGAAACCCAACTTGAACTCCATCCCGAATTGTAAAAGTTAAGTTAAGATTGAGTTGACCTTTCAACCCGCCCAACCTGCCTGAGTTGCACCCCTACTTTAGGTTGGGAGTGATTTTCAAATTGGGCCATTGTGTTATATCATTTTCACATTCGACACTGATGTTTTAAAATTGTATCAATTTATGTCTTTTGTCTAACGAATTATTTGAATCGTTATTAAATAGATGACATAGTGAGCATGGAACTCGTAACTAGGTTGACATGTAGGTCACCTTTGCACTAAATTGACTAAAAAACTTATCAATTTAATAGTGAATTAGAATTTCAAATACACAAGACGTGTAACTTGGTACAATTACAAAACTTTAGAGTAATGTGAGAAAATTGAAACCTCAAGCCCATATTAACAATCCAAAACCCCTCTAATCTAAAACTGGCAACACTCGTACAAATGACCATTTACCATTTGATTAAGTTCGAACGAAGAGTCTGTTCCATTTAGAGAACAGGTCTATTCCATTTATACTACTCGTACAAATGACCACCATCTAGAGAACAAGTTTGTTCCATGTATACTACTATGTTTAATATGTACTTAGTAAAACCCACTGCGCCATTTATCCCTATCAAGACATTGCCAAGTCAATTGTCAGATCATTCTTTTAATATATTTATATATATATATATATATATATATTTTTTTTTTTTCTTCTGAAAATCATAAATTAGCGTTTGTCTTTGACTTTTTAGGAATCCGGACTACTAGTTCAGTTGTAATCCATTATATTGGCAAGAAGAAAAATAGTATTTTCTCAATTCAATAATGATCATTCATTTCTCGTACTATTGAGTAGTTTGGATTATTGAAGAAAAATTGTATTACTTTAGTCTAAAGTAAGGGGGAGGATGGCACTGTGCAATTTTACCTCAATTCCACTTTATTTACGAGTTTGCCACCGACCTGATTGCAGCCCAAAGATCGCTTCGTTTACAAGATTACCACTGGGCCTAAAGAATGGGTCTTCACTCTTTGGGTTGGATCTAGGCTTTGACTTGGGGAGAGAGAGGGAAGGGCGACAGAAGGGTTGAGAGGGTGACATTCGTC